TACCTCCCAATGAGTCAATACAACTTTTGTGGCTTTCTTTCTGTGAAATATAACACTGTAATGTTGATTTGACTCAATCCTGCCTAGTATCTTTCTCTCTGAAACTGCAGCCTATTAATGCAGCTTATATAGTGTGCATCAAGCCTGTTCAATTTTTGTGGCTTTGTTCTAAAAAATAGTATAATAATATACTCTAATTTTGATTTCTTGACTAAAACATGTCTGGTGTCTACCAATGACACTACTGAGCCTATTAACCTGCTTGCAAAGGGGGCATTTAGTTTGAACAATGTATGCGTCCTCTTTCTGTGAAATAAAACACTTTAAATTAGATTTTTTGATTTAAATCTGTCTAGTCTCTCGCTATGAAACTCTCTCGCTATGAAACTGGAGCCTACTAGAGCCACTTGAATATCAGTGTTACTTACTTTCCAGAATCCGGCACTGGCTCCTCCCCACTGTCACATGGCCATTGCCAGTTCCTATTTTTACCTGGAGTGTCACCTTTAGCCTCCGCGGCACCAATTGACTTCACTGTATTTGAGTCTCTGCACCTGCATCCTCAATCCTCTGCTTCATCTCCTCTGTACCCTCAGCATCAGGATTCAACCCCTGCTTCCAGCTACCCTGTATCATGTGCCCCAGTTTTCTATTACCTGGCAGCTACCCTCCACATCTGCAAATATATTTTGAGTGGTTACCAGAATCTAAGCCCAAATCCCCATGAGGGGGTCCCTGGAAGAACACCAGCTACCCTTCAGCTACACAGAGAAGCAGGGTCCAGCTCATAACTACAAGCTTACTTACTCTCCCTCTTACACTGCCTCCCAGTAAAGCAGGTTACATAGTGTGTATGGAGTGTACAATATGTCTGGTTATTGCCTTTGAAATAATATACCCCAATTTTACTTTACTATGGTAAAACCTGTCCCATCTCTCCCTTTGAAAATGAGGCCTAATGGACTAAAGTTGCTTATTAACTGTACAATTGCACATACTTACAATATTTTTTTTAAATTCATTGCTGCATACATACTTTTAATTTGATGTGTTCAGTCAGAAAAATATTTCCATTGACCTGCTTTATAACTCTGTTGTATGTGTTAATAATTATTTTGTGTTCTTTTTCATTGGGTTCTTTCAGAGAGACTTAAAACTCTTCCTTTGAAATGTCAGGGTCAACCTTTTCCGATATTTTAATAATTCTCCTTCCTCCACATTGCCAGAGGAATCCAGGGATGCCATTGGGGCCAAATTGGACAGCTGTTTTACATCAGAGAACCATGTGCAGATAACGTCAAGAGAACTCCTTGTCACCATCATCACCTTTGCGAGGCCAGTTTCTGAGCTGGTGGCCTTATCTTTTTTTTTTATACTGCCTAGATTGCATTGGCATCCCTGCTGGTGTTTTCTTCAACATGGGAGACAACCTTACAATAGATAAAAACATAAAAAAATGAAACAGAAAATATAAGGGAAATGTAAAAAAATATAAGTATAAAATATAAGTATCAAAATACTGCTTAAAAAACATACAAAAAATAACCTTCTATCTCTGCGTGAAGAAACTCTTGGCCTGGCAGACCTTGTTATTTAATACAGGGGATTTACTAAATGTCATGGCTGCTATGGCAAATGACATTGGGGAAGGGGTGCTTAGGTGCTAATCAGTGTTGTGCACAGGTATGCAGTAACATGCTGCCCCAAAAGAACAGCTTTGTTTATGTCAGGAACAAGTGTCTACTAAAATGTGAAGCTTACAAATTTATGCCATTTGGTTTCCCCCATGCAGCTATGCATTGAGTGGGGTGGAGCCAGACACCAGATTTAACAAATGTAATGGCAAATAGGGACACAATATAGGGGGGGCTTTGAAGCACCCCGTTATTGAACACAAGCGTGTAGTGATGGGCCGCACACAAAGGGCAGCTGGGTTTTGAAATGTGTTTGAGCACTTTTTTTAAATTAACTTTTAAGACAATCGTATTTGGTACTGCAAAAAAAGGAAGAAAAGTGGGGCTTTTCAGGTGTCATTCTAGGCATGGAACACATATATTGCACATTTTTCTGTTAAAAAATAATTTTATTGTACAAATAATATAAATACATTACACACCCATATCATCTTCCTATACATAATATACAGGTGAAACCCGAATAATTAGAATATCGTGCAAAAGTTAATTTATTTCACTAATGCAACTTAAAAGGTGGAACTAATATATGAGAGAGACTCATTACATGCAAAGCAAGATAGTTCAAGTCGTGATTTGTCATAATTGTGATGATTATGGCTTACAGCTCATGAAAACCCCAAATCCACAATCTCAGAAAATTAGAATATTACATGCAATCAATAAAAAAAAGGATTGTACATAGAACAATATCGGACCTCTGAAAATTATAAGCATGCATATGTACTCAGTACTTGGTTTGGGCCCCTTTTGCAGCAATTACTGCCTCAATGCGGCGTGGCATGGAAGCTATCAGCAGCTCTTCTGCATTGTTCGGTCTCATGTCTCTCATCTTTCTCTTGGCAATGCCCCATAGATTCTCTATGGGGTTCAGGTCAGACTAGTTTGCTGGCCAAGCAAGTTAGTTTCACCTGTAGTCTAAAATCACAAAAGGCTTATAACCTCCCTGGACCATTGTTACAAAGTCTTGTATCGATATACTGTGGGTCCAATCTTGAATTTGAAGATTGGACCCACAGTATATCGATACAAGACTTTGTAAAAATATGACAATACATGATAAATATAAAATGAATATAAGTAATATTTTTGAATGATTATTGCATTTCCGATGCCTAGAATGTGGCCGTGTGGTCCAGGGAGGTTATAAGCCTTTTGTGATTTTTAGACTATATTATGTATAGAAAGATGATATGGGTGTGTAATGTATTTATTTATTTATATTATTTGTACAATAAAATGAATTTTTAACAGACAAATGTGCAATATATGTGTTCCATGCCTAGAATGACACCTGAAAAGCCCCACTTTTCTTCCTTTTTTTGCTTATACTATATTAGGGGTGTGGTGTCCTGGTTTCCCTGGTGGCTCAGAGCCTATTTTTTGTATTCACTGCAAAAAAAGAAGCCCAAACTATCTAAGAATGATCTAAAAAAATCTTCTTTTTAAGTTGTAATGATTCAGATTGGGATGCTGCTGCAGTATTTAAGCCAAACAATAATCTAAAAAAGATTTTAAAAAATCAATTATACATTTAAAATATTTTATGCCAGAAAACAATGTCACTGACACTGCCTGTGAGAATTGTACTATTCCCTGACACCTCATAAAGCTTAGAGGCATCTCCCAAGCCTGTAATTTAAAGTAGGGATGGACCGAAACTAGTATCGGTGCTAAAACTGAGTATTTGGGCGAATATTCATACTTTCCCAAATGCTCCAATACTTGCCCCTGATTCCGAAACTTTGCGATGGAGCTGGTTTCATGGCTAAACAGGCACCACAGCTTCCTGATTGGCTAAGAAGTCAGTTTAACTTATTGCTAGGCAACCTGGCTTCCTGACCAAGCATGTCATGACCCGCCGCCTGGCTTCCTGATTGGACAGGAAGCCAGGCTGCCTCACAGTGTCGCTAGGGAAGTAAAACCGATGTTTTTCCAATAGAACACCAGCTTCCCAGGCAATCAGGAAGCCCGCCGACTGGCTTCCTTATAATCTGGGCCCACGGATGCTGGTATCAGTATTGAGTATTGGCCAGTACCAAAAATAAATTATCGGTACTCGTACTCGATACCGAAAAAACGGTATGGGTGCATCCCTAATACAAAGGATTAGTGATTTCCACATGTCACCCTCATAAATGTCAAAATTTCTCCCTGCTGTATGGTTTGTTTGTTTTTTGCATTGCTACATGTCCTCCGTGACCAACTCCCTATGCACTTTGTTTGACAATCCCTTGCCTACTATCTTTAAAATGGACAGAAATTAGTTTCAGAATTTGGCCCTCCATAGACTTCAGTGGGGTTCAGATTTAGGTTTGCAATTTTCAGACTTTATGGTGGGTTCCACATATGGCCCACAAACGAGACCCAGCCACATTCGCTCATCATTAATAAACCAGTATTAAAATGGTGGAAAACTATTTCAGTATAGGTAACTATACCTCCGATTCCACATAGAACAGTACAGATGTTTTGTATTATCGATAGCTGAAGAATGCTGTACTTCAGCCAGAACATCGATTGGGGGTTCGTTTGCAGCTAGTCCAGTCAGATACCACTGGGTTTCATTAAAACACTTGGCTTATGTTTGCTTGATTGGAATTATTTAAATTTGAATGAATTATCCTCAGCATTGTTTTATATTAAATTATACAACCAGTATGTTCCAAATGCCCTTCATGACACATGAAGCTAAGCCAGTTTAAAAATGTTTTTTAAAAGCAGCTAATAACAGTGTCTGCAATGTTTTAGTTCTCAGTATTCTGCTGTGGTAAATTATTTCTGTGTAAAGTATAAATTATGTCTATTACATCAATAAACCTAGCTATATACAGAATCTAATTTTACAATGTAAAAATACAGAAGAACAATGTTAAAGTAAACCTGTAGGCTTACTTCTTTTGTAAAGTGGCTACGGGACTATGGAGCAGGAATCTCCAGTTGCTTGAATGCTCAGATTATCTTCAGAACATCGCAGGATTCCCAAAACCTGGTGTACTCTATTAGAAGGCTGCAATGTCATTTCAAACGCTGTATTTCCAAAAAGGTAGATGAAATTAAATATATAGCTGAGAAGGGTCCACTTCATAATTACCATTGCAGGTGGGTAGACCAAAATTTCAGGTGCTGAAATCTGCCTGCCGCTACTGGAAAGTTATTAAAAGATTGTGTGTGATTCAATCTTATAGCATCTACTCAAAGCTAAAATATCAATAATGAGTGGCTTTATTGTAAATATCTATAACATGTTTATCACTAGACATTTACAGTTTAAAATATTGTTATTTATATATTTTTATCTTTCAGTGGGGACCCAAACAAAAGTGACATCTGGGGAAACACACCATTGCATCATGCAGCTGAAAAAGGACATGCAAATTGTGTGGCCTTCCTGGTTAATTTCGGATCAAATATTTTTGCTCTGGACAACAAACACCATTCACCACTGGATATGGCCAACCTAAAAGGCCGCACAGATTGTGTCAGAATTCTGGATGAAGCAGCTAACAAACAGACATCTTTGAACCCTAAGAGGGTAGCTAAGTTAAAAGAACAAGCCTTGAAAGATGCTGAAAGGAAAGTCAAAGAGTGTGAGAAGATCCAAGATAAACACCAGACTGAGATGAACAAAACTTTCAACAGAAACAAGACTGGAACAGTCAATTCAGCAAAGGGAACCCTGTCAGGTTCTGTAGGTGCTCGCTTTTCCACTCCCTCTACTATAAGTAGTTTGTCCAAAGGGTTAAGGGACACACTACAGTTAAAAATAAAGAAGAAAGATAAAAATACAATTGATCAAAACACAGTAACTAACATCATTCTTGCCAAAGATGAAAGTAGTGGAGGCCATCGTACCAAGGTCACAGATGTTTTTAGTGAAAGTAATGAAGGTATGGCTATGGAAGAAGGAAAGCAGTCTATCTTTAATCGGCCGGGACTTGGGAACATGGTTTTCAAGAGAAACCTAGCAATGGGAATCAACACTGATTTTGGAGGCAATTTCACAGCTGAAGATGAGCGGACATTAAAAGTTAAGAATGCATTGTTTGCTGCAGATGACAAGAATGAAATTGAAGATGACGGTGAAAATATTAACATAGCTTGGAATGATGATGATGAGATGGAAATAGATGAGGAAGAAGAAAGTTCCCCTCTCAAGGTCTTTCTGGAATCTTATAATTTGCTGGACCTTCACGTCACACTTTTGAGAGAGAAGATAGACTTAGATTCTCTTCTTCTATGTTCTAATGAAGATCTGCAGAGCATAAACATACAACTTGGTCCGAGAAAGAAGCTCCTGAGTGCAGTAGAAAAAAGAAATCAAATTCTGAAAAATCCAGGAAAGATAACAGACACTAAGTTATGAAGTTGTAAAAATCATACAAACACGCTAGGCAGAAATGTAAGGCAAATTTACAAGGTATTGTAACAAAACAGTGACTCGGACATTTCTTTTTCATAGTTGAAATATCTAAGCCTAACATAGAATTGAAAACCAGTTCTTTGTCCTAATATAGCAATGGTATTGTGGGTTCTCATTTTGTTTAGAGTTTCTACTCCATTGGTCCTTTTGTAGCCTACACTTTGTGATAGTATAGGTAAAAATGACCTGCTGATATCACCTTAAGACCACCTCCTATTCAAAACTAACCTGTGCTTTCTATCTAAATATACAAATCTGAAATGCCCTTATTTATTATCAAAACTGACCATATTATATTTTTCATATATATTAGTATGAGGAGCATTGTAAATTGTTCAAAAAAACTCTAAAGGAATCCTTTCATCCCCAATAGTACCCTTATTAGAAAGTGTAGTGGGTTTTAAAATAATGTTAAACAACATTTTATCATCCCCATAAAATAAATGTTAGGTATTTTAAATTCATATCAATTGTGTTTTCACCTTAATATGCCAGGGAAAAAAGGTAACTAAATATTCAGACAATCCCCTTATTCATTAATTATAAAGTGACACCCACAATGTCCAAATTCAGTGCCTCCAGTTATCACTAAATGACAACAATTTACCTAAAGTGACTCACACAGGATGACATTCAGTGTTATAATCAATGGAAGAAAAATAAAACCCAAATGAAAAACAGGTACCTGAATTCTTTCAGTGTAGGAGGTCCTATGCACCTTGTAATGTTTAAAATGAAAATAATGGACTCCGTAATAGTTACTAATATTAAATTTAATAGTAATACGGTCAAGTACAGTTATTTTCAATGTTTCAATCAAATATCAACCAATTTAATTAATATTAGTTAAAAGTTTGTTAAATTAGTTAAAAGTTAAAACTCAGTTCGATTATAATAAGTCCTATATTTGAATAACAAAATACAACATAGCCAGGTATTTGAATACAATTAATTTAAAAACTCTATCTATTTTTAAGGAGACAAGTGAAAGACTAATAATGGAATTAACAATATTCAGATTGAACTCTGTCCAAATTTTCTCCTGCAGCTAAAATTTAAGGACTAGCGTTATTCTAAACTTAGCTCCTTTTAAATTAAACAGACATTCAAAAAGAAATTTACAACAATAACATATATATTTTAGCATGCAAAATGATACATTACCACCACAATCCAAAGTTTGGGACAAGTGGGACCCTCCCCATCCATTTTTGCCATTTTTCATACCTTATTTATACTAGATCTTTCCCTTATCTTGAGAACTGCCTATGGGAGTTCCTCTGGGCTGCTACTAGCATCTGATTGGTATAATTACTGATTCATTAACCAGGTGTATTCACAAGCAATAATGTTACATGCCTTGCAGGTAGCATTCTGGTACTACCAATCCTGGTTTTACATTTTCTAAAATAATGAGGGAGAGAAATTGATTTATATATGGGGTGAGTGGTATATCAGGATAATCTTAATTATCATACCCTCACTTACATGCTATATTTAAATAGGTTATATTTTATACCCATACAAATATTAAACATTGAGATGCATATAAATATGAGGTATAAGTTATTATTTTCATCTCTGCTATATCCTTTCAGTATTCTATTCCTTATTATTAATATAGGTGACAATTTAATAGTAACGCTTATTACCCTTATTTTAATTATCGAATCTCGGGTGGTGGTAAGTTGATTAATTCATGATAATTCATTAAACCTATCATCAAAAAAGACTTACATATTAGTAAGATACAAGATAAACAATCACAACTTTCATATAAGTTTTGAAATCAGTTACTTATCATAAATATTAAATTTTTCTATATTTGAATGCATACATCTAGATATCTGATTATTTTAGGTGTTTGATTAATATATAAGATTCTGCATATGATTCTAGATATAATACATATTAATTAAACGTTTGTCCCTGTTTCTCTTAAGAGTTCTACCAGTCTCCTAGGACATCTGTTCGAATAGTCATGTTATATGTTTAAGCAAAACTCAAACAAGTGTGATAATTTACAATTCAGACAAAGGCCAATGTGTATGATCCTGTTAAATAAGCTATTTACTTCTCAGAGACCGATATGTGAGATAAGATAGTCCTTGGAGAAAACAGTAAATATCTCAGGTGTCATAGTCTTAGTCTTCTTCTTCTTCTTAGTCTTCTTCCAAGCCAGTATCGACACTTTATTTAGTTTTCTAGTTGTAAAGTTTCTACACAAGTTTCTTTTGAGTTTGAAATAAACTTGGTGACCTGATCTTAATAAATTCATACACATTTTTATATAAAAAATTCTGACAAAATAAATATTGGAAGCTTTTATTTGTTCCCTCCATTTATTTTATTTTATTTTCTTATTAGGGTTAAGGACATGGTAAAGCTAAAAATACACTATATAATCGGATTGTTCAATTTTCTTCAGACCTACAAATAAATACGTATTGTATGAGCTTGTGTGATTAGATACAAATTGAATGGATTGTTTAGGTTATTCCTCATATTAAAACATTTTGGAAAATGTAAACGAGATTGTACAGGGATTTTACAATAACATTGTAGACTGTATGGCCACCCTTAGGCTACCTATAATTATTATAGTGTGTTCTGAATAACCTGGCAATTTCGAGTGAGAAGCTTATTTGTCTATGAAAGGTTATTTGTATGAAAGATTTTTTACAGGTCTCTTTAGAGGCAGTCTTAGATTTGGTCATAGTTTTGTTAGGATTGGGGTTTGGGTTGTGTAGCCTTAGGTTAGGATCTATACCTTATAAATATTGTAAGGGTCTGTTTTTTTTATGGAGTCATTTTTACAGCTTTCGAGTGTTCTGACTATTTAGGGACTTACCACCAAAATGCACTCATCACTTTTGAGTCTTATCAAATATACTGACATGTGTCCTATTATATTTAAATGTAAACTTACTCAACTCAACAACAAAAAAACCACTTAAAGACAACAGTTGTTTTATTAAATTGCAATATAGATGTTCAATGGTACTAAGTGAAAAGTAATTGGCTAATGAATTTAAATAATTCATAAATTAATGTTTTTGGGCATCCATTGTTGTAAATGATGTGCATTTAGCAGAACTGATGGTAAAAAAAATTTAAGCAGTGCCATTGTATATATGCAATGAAGATGTAAACTGTATATTATAATGTGTAGTAATAAATATAAATTAAAGGGTATTGATTTTAAAGTATGCTACAAAAGCCATAAATATCCTCATTTATTTGTGTTAATACACAAAACAGTTACGCATTTATTAGCAGATGAATCTACTAACAACAAATGTAGAAAATTAAGCATTCAAAAAGGGGTTAAATGTTAAATAGATGATAGCAAGTTTGCAAAATATTGTCATGCAGCATGCTTAAATAACTTTTCACGTGGGTTGCATGCTCAATACTGAAAACTTCATGTACCAGTGTGTATTATTAGTACACCAAGATATAAATGTCTGTCAGTGACAAATTCACCCCAGGCTTACTCCATAACAGTCAAGCCATTAATCAAGAAAGTGCATCTGCTGTTGAATCCATGACTGTATAGATCCACCCATAGGACAGTTTACCTTTAACCACTTTGGTACTGGAGCATTTTTTTGCACACACATGTAAAAATCTGAATTTCTGGCTGTAAATTGTTTAAAACCCCCAAACAATTATATATGTTCTAAAAGTAAAGGCTCAAACAGTTCATCCCCACACAGCTACCTCCTAATGTATCACTCGCCCCTCCCTTTAGATTGTAAGCCCTCACGGGCAGGGCCCTCCTTATCATCTTGTCTTCAATTGTATTGTAATTGTAATGCTTCCTTACATTATAAAGAGCTGCGCAAATGTTGGCGCTATAAAAATCCTTTATAATAATAATAATAATGAAGGTCCTGTAGAATAAAAAATGCTAGTTGCAATTCATGTTGCACAATATTTGCGCAAATGTTTATTGAGTCAATATTTGAAGGAAAGAGTACATGCAAATGAACTGTAGTGCACACAAACACAATAAAATGGTCCTAAAGTGGTTACCGGTAATATTGAGCTCAATAAACGGAACAGTAAAGAATGAAGGAAACTGTACTGAGAGGATATGGGGGCTACTTGAACTGGCCTTCCTCCTGAAAATGTAAAATGGCTGGCTGACGTGCTAACTCAATGATTTTAGTACTTTCTGAGACTTTGACCTGTAACAAGTATACAGTATATAAGTCAATGAATGAGTAGGTATTGAAGCAGGAGACAGCTAACCAACTAGTATTCTTAGAAGGAGCTAAGTAATCGCAGCTACCATATTTCTATTATAAACATAGTTAGATAGCCTGGTTGAAAAAAAACACAAGTCCATCAAGTTCAACCTAATAGAACCTAATAGAGATAAGAGGGGGGGGGAAGAAGAAAGAGAAGAAAAACCTAAAACAGAATGCTTTGTCAACAGTTACACGCTGTTGATCCAGAGGAAGGCAAGAAAAAACATATAAAGCATGGTTCAATTTGCTCCAACAGGGAAACAATTCCTTCTTGGATATTCCCTGGATCAACAATCTCTGGTGCTTATTGTACTTATAAGAAGTCAATATCTAGTAATATTTTGTGAATTTAGGAATGCTACCACATATTTTTTTTCCAACAGTGAAAAAGCCTTTCTGTATGCAAAGGTTAAACCTCTTTTCCTTCAGAAGCAAAGAGTTTAAAGGTTAGGTTGGTGGTAATTATACTAATATCTGTACCTCTTCACCCACAGCCCATTCATAATAGGGTTGTCAGAGGCAACAAACTGCAAAGCTGCTTCTAAGGTGTGAAGGGACAAACTATATCTAGTATCAAGGGTAGTTTGGGAGAAGTTGGACCAGACAAGAACCAATACATAGGAGACCTCAGACCAGAATTGATACACGGCAAACCTCAGACCAGCACCAATACACGGCAGACCTCAGATTACAAT